TCAGTAAATTTGAGCTCTAACCACTAAATCATCTCGTCCTAATGAGCGCCTGAACCTCACCAGAAAGGATTTCATTGGGTCCCTTCAACCCACTTGCTGCCTTACGGTGGACACAACAGAAACGAAGGCACCAGTTCCAGTTGCATCATATCTTCTATCAGTGGCTACTTACGGGAAATGAAGGGACACGTCAAATGATGTCCAAAAACTTTCTACTTACATACAAAGAGACATCCTACTTGATCCGTCGGTTGCAAAGACACCCGGCCGCGCGTTTGAATTCCGGATGTTCGTTGAAACGGTGGATGAAAAGATATTCGGAAGAGCCCGTCGACAACTGGATCACCCGAGGCTATACTGGATGACAAGAGAGCGTTCACTCCATGAATAGGTTTGGTGGGGAAATGAGGTCCGTGACGAAACTTCGACGGATGACCGGAACAACTTTCGCAGACCAGGAATGTGAATCCTTCGCAGTCGTTTATCAACGATTTCAAGGGACACAATCAATTTTTGGAAATACTCGGCATGTGGCCGTTGAAGACGATAAAAAGAGACCATGGGTGAGCGTCAGGTCCTCGAAAATCTTCTTTCCGGGAACGCAGCACTCACCAGGCACCGGACGCAGCTCAATTACACCAACCACTTTGTAACAGAGGTTGGCTCGTGCTTGTGTTATTCTATTTCGATACTGACCAAACGATCAGCTTCAGGGTGAAGAAAACTTGCACATGAAGCAATTGATGGAGAGTGTATAGCAGTTGAGTGTGGAGCTGGATACAGTTCTCTACCGCAGTGACACTGCCCTTGGAACTCTTGGAAATTGATACCCAGCAAAGGCTTTGTAACTAAATTAAGCTGTAGCGACGCAACCCATCAGCTTCACCCATTCACTTTCGATGAACAATACAGGAAACATATACTTCGATTCACCCAATCGCGAACTAACGTCCACATGATAGGTGACTAGGCGCTTGCAAGCAAATTGCCAAGCTTGGCGAACACATCAGTGGCCACCTGATCTACAACCAACTGACGCATTCGAGATACCGAAATTTCGATATGCTGCTAAACAATTTCATCCCCAACTGGTGATGTCCGTATCCATGAAACGCCATGTTTTTAACCAGTATAGATAGATGGTTAAACCATTGTCAATTACGGCACCGCATGCAGGAACTTTCTCCAACTTTTATCCCCTAATGAGACTTGCAACCTTTTTGGCATTATTTCGGTCACTTGGCACAACTAACTGCATCATTTCTAACGAACAGCGGTTGTTAAAATAATAATTTCTCAACCTTGAGCACCATGGCGATCCAGAAGAACCAACATCATACGCCAGAACAAGGAGGCAACAGCAAGAAATCCCAACCAGCCCAGTGTTTTGATGTCAGTGATTGGTGGCAACAAACAGGAATATTCTTAGAGCTGACTCAGTCATCTTCGGGAGAAAGCTGTCGTGAAAGTAAAAGTAAGGTCCAATGCGATAGAAACTTCAGCTTCGGGGTCACCACAGTAGCTCGCCTTCTGTTTACAGCTCCGCTGCCCTTTCAGTTTATTCAGCCGTCCCTTCACAAAAACAAATTTTAGACCTTTTGTATTTGGTTATTATTGTATGTTGCCGCTTGATAACCGCGGTATTCACAGGGCGGACGGAACACAACTAGTTCTCACTATACAACCACCACCAGCACCGATAATCTTTTTTATCCAAAATACATTGAAGAAACACAGGGTTCTTGGGATCTGTCTTCTAGCTATTGCGGAAATGACCACAGAAAACTATGCAGGATTCATACAATCACTTACTTGGAAAGCCCAGAAACAAGTGTTTTCCACACAGTGGTTGTAGGCTGGATGTGGCGGCAGGGGAAAAAGGAATACGTCATCTTCGCGTGCACGTTCTAGAACACGAACACTGACAAACTGAAGGTGCCCATCGTAGAATAACACCAGGGGACGGACGTGAACCAGCAAGCGGAAGTGTTTCAGGAACCACTGAATGAAGGCGTCAGAATTGACCCAACCGGAGGAGGAATAGGAAAACTTAGTCCCGCGCACCGCACCCTCCATCATCGACGCTGAAACCACAGAGAAATGGAAAAACAACCATGCAGCGGTGCTGAAAGCATGCCCCCCGAAAAAATATTGTACACGCTACTACGTCTTGGGATGTGAATAGAGCTGTAGGTCAACTCAACACAATCTCACACAGCGGGCAAGCATCCCGTTGCAACACGAAACCTTACGCTCGACCCGCGTTTCGATTACATCTTCCGAGCTGACTCACGGTGAGAACAACTGAAGGATAGTGGTCTAAGAAAAGCTTAACCCAGTTAGTTCATTGTATCAGAGGATAGGAATGGAGGATGTCCCGACAAGATGAATGTTCAAATGAAAATGATGTGAATGCGAAGTATACCACCTACGACTAAAAGTTTGATTGTTTTAGTCCAATGAACACAAAGAGAGGCTTAACATCCGTCGTAAACGCAGTTTGAGGGACACGGAACATCAGTGCAGTCATCGCGGGTGGTACATGGAAACGAGTGTTCAGTGGTGATCGGTTTGTCGCACGAGCTTACTTGCCATTTGCGAAACCTTACACAAGTCTGCAAGACAATAGAACTAATAGTGTACTGCTTGACGCATGCAAACGTTCTTTTTGTTATCTTAAGATCGTAAATTTTCGGTTAAGGGTAAATGGATTACCGAACTGTTCAGGAATCCTCGTTCCATTCAGATAGTCCGATAACTAATGTCGTGAATGGATAAAAAATAAATTAAGCTATTGTCATTTATCAAGCGATTTCAAGTTCGGTGTGGCCTTGTTCTACCAGCCTATTCAGATCATATGACTACTAGTGAATTATATTCTCACGGAGGGAGAGTATCTCGCCTCTCGTGCTTCCTTCTGGTGGCAAGGCGCCCAAGGACCGAAAAAAGTGTTACAGTTGAACGAATATTATTATTTGTTTATTTTCTCAAGGAGGAATTGATAAATTACCAAGTCATGGAAATGGAATTCGACGGAATTATCATAAAAAGTGTGGTCAGATTCCAGAAAACTCAACTGTGAGGTTCACAGATGGGTAGAGGTGCCAACTTCCATTGCACGAGGATAAGCTAGGAAACTCACGTGTGATACATTCACCGCGGTAGATGAGGAAAGGAGGTATCTTCTCCCCTATGCCATTGGCTGCGCCAAGCATAGCTACAGTAGGGTTCCAGTAGCTTACGGACTGCGCGCGTTGGATGCTTATAGGCAATATACGTGGAGGTTGGTTTTCACAGCTGATGCTGACTTCGTCTACGATCCAAAAATGTTGTGCTTTGTCCTTGATGTCATATTTCGTTAAGACCTAGCACAAACAAACGGAAAAACGAAACAAAATACACGGACTGAAGGAAACCGTCATGAAAGGGTGCTGACGAGCACGTCAAAATGTAAGGACAACTGATAGCGCAATCGCTTCGTTGTTAGTGGGGCCGGGAGTCTCAACACAATTTCCAGTGCTTCCGGCGTAATGAAGATGTTGACTCATTAATGCCAAGATATGGCAACTACTTTGCCTAGAGTGAGAAATAAATGGAATAAGTCAAATAATATCATGTTACGGCATCGCCTAATTGTTTGACGGAGCAGATGGGTTTGCTTGAGGTATAAGGATGCTGCAGACGGTGACAACTGTTTGCCACAGATAGGCCAAGGACACGAAAGAAAGCAATACAACTAACGAAAACAAGGGCTCAATTTAACCTCTTTATAACGGTACCCCACCGAACGTGATGTGGGCTTTTCATTAGATCGATCGTCCCACTGCCACTCCCTCGATACTCATAGTCGATAACATACACCGAGTGATTAAGTGCACGTTATCGTAGCAGTAGCTGTGCTGTAGCAAGATTCTTGCTTTATTGGCCATTTTCTGTGGTCCGTTGTGGTTTCGTCTAATAGCAGAACGAGAGAGGAGGGAGGTGAAGCGTCTCGAATTCGCACAAGGGACCGAAATTTCATGTTACACTGGCGATACGAGCGATAAGCAAGACAAGACATGGAAGGTTATTTATTCGTCTCTGATACGAATTTTCGGACAAGTAAATAAATGTAAGTGTGAGGGTGCACTTGCCCAATTGTTTTGGCAGGCAAGTTAAAATTACGCTAGCATCCAATATACCATCCTTTTATAGATAGACTGCCAAACAAACGACTACCCTGGATAAAATCTAGATTCGAAAATATCTAGGTAGCCAACACTCTAAGGCTGTGTTGAAAAATAGCAACGTTATCATTGAATGCGAGGTTTACTACTCGCTTCGGTTGTTTTTCGAGAACAGGAAGCCGTTTACTTTTGTGAAGTTGGGAGAATCGACAGTTCAGTTGTTTATCCCAGAACGTTCTAATGCTCCATCATCTTAATCGGTCGACTGGGTCTTGAGGAGCCAAACTCATCAGCATTTTAACGAATGAGCGGAACACTTCAGGAGTCAGTTTTACTGGCAGCTGACTATTGATGTAACTGCGCAAATCTGCTAAATTCACCTCCTGGCCCAATTCCGTTGATTTACCCAGTATACATGACATACAGTAGACGATTTTCGGTCCGAAAAATGAACAGATGAACATGAACTCACCGAGGGGCTCCTCAAGACACAAAGAAATTCTCCATCCCAAGATGACAACGCAGCTCAAATATGATAATCGCAAAGCATCCTAACTTCCTGGGAAGATTCTACTGATGTTATGGTCCTCGAAAATGGCCAGTCATCATCACCGTTGATTAACAAGGAACACCAGCTCTCCACCACCTAAAGAAACAGTACTCAAACCACTGAATCAGTCTTACTTCAGCAGCATCCTGGATTTTTACGAATACCATCTCGTGTAGGCTGTCAACGACACTAGCATCACATCTGGGAACAGCAAATCGATTTTCGTCGTGGGGGAATTTGCGCTGACCAGTTATCATCAGAAAGCACGAACACCACTGACATCGACTAGCTACACTTTCTCGCAATGTCTCCCCATCAGGGGAGCAATTACTAGAGCATGGCCAGGCTAACAACACCCGGTGGTTGTTAGCCCTCCGGACATCCGAGCTGCATTTAATTTTGCAAACTGCGTATTGCTGTGGAATTGTCTGGTACGGAATGGTGTGACAGGAAAAATCGTTTATATCCTGACGGCACCACATAGTGAAACGACGGAGTTCGTCTGAAACCATGACGAAGTATCCCATCCGTCCCTCATAATGTTTGGAAACACTGGCAATTCAGGAACTAGACTACTTTTGTTATATTGTTTTCGCAGACGACATCCAATGCTGAGACCACCTCATACCAAAAATAAGCCTTCTCACCAAGGAAGTATAAAATCATTATTCATACTGATCTGGACGTTGTTGTCAGACCAAAGACGACATTTCCTTCCGGAATGAGAACGCCAGAACAGTTTTCGTGAACCTCCATCACCTGTGGTGTTGGTGTGATATCAACCTATATGTCAAGGGTACTTTACAATGCTGTGGTACTCTCCATATTCCTATACGGGTCAGAAACCTGAGGATGCTGAGGACGTTAAAAAACTTTCAGTGTTTGACCATCGATGTCATTGGAGCATTGCCCGAGCTGGTGGGAACATGGGATCGGTAATGCTGAAGTATGCTGAAATGTTTTCGGAAGATGTAACTCACTCACGATAGATGGGGTGATCATAATCCCTAGGTTGTGCTGGCTTGGTAACGCGCTCCATGTGCAAGTCAACTGGCTAGCGACCTCGGGGTCAAGCAGGGACTTGGTAGCGAAGTATGAAAGCCCTTGCCAGCAAACTAGCTGAGCCGGTCATTGCCGTCTCCCTGGATGGGGGCTCCGAGGGAGACACCTCAGTGGTTAGAGGCATTGGCAAACATTGACGGGTCGTGTTCTCAATGGTGCGCATGAGTCCAAGCTGTTGCTATATAGCTTCCTCTCCTGAGCTCCCCAATGAAAGGTCCATTGATACTCCTGAATTCACGAATCAATTACATCAACTACAGCTTCCAACATGTAGTTACGTACCCCTGTAATCGGCAAACGAAACCGTGGCAGCTATAACCACTGTAAAACATTTAGCAAGTTTTGGAGGTGCAGATGATCTGGACATGAAATCACGGTCTCCAGGCAAACGAATGGCAGCTATAACCACTGTAAAACATTTAGCAAGTTTTGGAGGTGCAGATGATCTGGACATGAAATCACGGTCTCCATTGCTGACGAAACAGGTGGTTGACCAGGTTGACCAAGTTGCGTACTTCAGAATTCAAACACAAAACTGCCAAAATCACGTCGGGTGCCATTAAGGTCAGGATAATCTCCAGGAATTCAGACACCAGCGCAGTATCAACCTCTTGCCGGGCGATCGAGTTCATAACACGTAAGTTCGTCCAACACTTCTACACGAGCGGGGGGTGGAGAGGCTGAAACTTGGACTATCTCTAAACTGCAGATATCAGACGACTCACCGCGTTCCCTCATCGTTGTATCTCGCGCATCTAGATGCAACAACGGTGATCTAGTGAGTATCACAGGCTATTATGGACTCCACTGGTTGAGGCAGGCACTGAGGGTGAAAACTCAAAAGCCTTCACGGCGCGCCGTCTTTGCAGAACCATGCGAAAGTTTGAGAAAAGGTTAACGGAAGAAGCTTTACTATCCTCTGTCGGATCTTGTGAACTCACCGGCTGAAGAATGGAAAACGACGTCTGTTTTTGGTTAAAAACTCCGATGGAAATATCCCCTAAAGTGTATGTGAACGAACTGAAGCTCGACCACCGAAGTTCTTTGGAAGGTGGATACTGGGATCATCGAATGCGATCTGAGGCGAACCCAGCTCAACTAATTAAGCCACTTAAAAACAAAACCTCAAAACGATTAGGTCAAGGTAGGCTGTCGAATGGAGTTCAAAATCGGGAACATTCGGAATTCCGCCAACGGGACATCTTTGAGGTAAGATTGAAAAACTGTGATTCCTGCTTTAGATCGTGAGAAGACAAGGAGACCACTTTGCCCCGTTCGTACGAATTTTGACTGATTAGGAAGACACCAACTTCCCTGCCAATCGGGTTCGGAACTTTTCTGCATCTTCACCCAACTACTCCAAAATTAGGAAACACCAAGTGATTAGTATAACAAACGAAGCCTGTCTACCTATTTGGAAACCGGATGTTCGGTTTTATCCGTTGCCTCCAGTGCGCATTACTGACACTGTTCAATGAGCCTGGCGGTTGAAAACACCAGAAATGTGTGGCCGATTGAAGGGCGCGTGTGGCAGCGAATCATGAGATATAACAGGGTGTGCGGAGCCGATGGTGACTGGTTTCTGATCAATAGTCGAAGCAATATTAAGAGACAGAGTATTAAAACGCTTGGCGAATAAGCACATCAGCGAGTACTAAGTCAGTTTTACAAAACAATCTTAAAAAAGAAGCGACGATTATGACCCTGGAGTGAATAATGCACAGCACTAAGCTGATATTGACTTGGAGATCAGTCAAAAATAATCATAAATATCCGGATAGCGATAGAAAACAAATTGTGCGGGATGGAAAGATTTTGAACGTTCTTGCCACCAACAGTAAAGGTAGCATCGGTAGCGAATAAACGGGCATACAAATCAATATCGAAGGTCCGAAGTTAAAATTCTGACTGAAAGGCACACAATCGGGTCACACGGATCAGGGCAGGCGCAACTTCTGACTCAGGTCTTTTTGTGAACAGAGGGTTGGCTTAAATGGTGTGCCAACAAAGATGAAACAAGTCAATAAATGAATTGTCGTATTTAGTGTGACGGTTTTAGGTGCCGAAGAAATATCAACCTGGCGACCAAGATTGATAAGGTGTTTGGCGGTAGAAGCGGGATTACGGCTAAACGTAAAATGATGGTAATTTGATTGATCCAAACCTTCCAGCATTTACTTAGAGATGTGTTCTTTACCCGGTCCATCAGGTCTCCCTCTAGTCCACCCCAGGGATTTCAGTGCAACGGCAGATGAGGCAGCAAAAGTATTTATATGGAGGTGATTTGGTTGACCGTAACATATTCCTGGCCTTAAGCAACGTGACTGTGCAGCGTTATACATTCAGTTGAGTACTGTGTCCACCTTAGTAACGTCCCTCTTGTATGACAGATGGAGAAGCGGACACTTCAGCCTTACAGTCATCATCTCTACTTGAGATACAACTACTCTGGATAAGATTTTCCGAGTGGCTGTTCTACCTCAGTGTCCATGAGGATCTGAAGCTTTTGTCCGATCTTTTGGCTGTACACATTCGTCTGGCTCTGACACAAGGTACTAATAAGTGGGTGTTTGTATCTTGATTGACCCAAACTGTGAAAGCCCTGGTAGACTTACCATACACCTAACGACTCATCGTCCTATCCGGTTACCTGGTTATCAAGATGTTTGAGAGGGCAAGGAGACTGTTTTACCCGAATTAATTAGCGAAGTGGAAGTTTCGATAGAGTGAATCACTGCCGCTAATGGGCAAGGATAAAAGTGCAGCGCACGTACAGTTGAAGTTAATTTATACGTCACATTGTTTGTCCCCATGTTTGCCAGGAATAGGTAAGCCAGTTGTTTTGCCCAAAAGACTGTCCTTTGTCACATCAATTCGCCGATAATGTGCCCTGGAAGCAGAATTTTACACTTCTGGTACAAAGTACGACAAGGACGGGACCTGGGGTGATATCACGACAAGCCACAGCGCAACCATAAATAAGAACTGCTTCCGCCAGAGGAACCTTTATAAATAAGGAAGGAACGTCGAAAGAAATAAGGATGGAACGTTGAAAGAACACAACCGAATAAGGAATGTCTGTCGAGTGTAACAAACAAATTAAAATCCACCATCATAACAAGTTTACCCTTATGAGGCTACATCTCCACTAGTGCTTGGACTAATCTGTGATAACCTGAATCATTCCACAGCTACCCTAGGGCACAGCGTTCCCGCATAATTGCTAGCCCTCAGCAGACCGTATTGTTCACGTGCATGTGGATCTTCGGGTCCAGACAGCGGTAGTGTGATACTTCTGTGCCTTAGTACCAGACGAATGAACCTACGACGCATCCAACTGTCCTGATCACCATTATGAAAACTGGGTTGTTCACATGGTTATTTTTTATTGGCCGGATTTAAAGGCGCTTCTCTAGCGATTACAAGGTAGTGTGCTGATCCACGGCACCATAGCTAACCAGAGTGACGCCAGCAAAAACGTTCACATTGCTGGGCTCTAACATACATGTCTAGTGTCTTCACTTTGTTCAGCATGGATACTCACTTCCCACCGGTATGGAAGTAGATTGGTTGCAGCTGTGAGTACAGGTCAGCAAGATATCGATCCAGTAATTAGGTGATCTGTTTTTTGGCTTTAAATTGCACGCGTCACTGATTGACCCAGAGCATTCTAGTTTTGTTCTGTATGGAGTAGCCGCCCAGTAAACATACCCAATTCACGACCAATGCTTGAGTACTATCCATTCGCATAGAGGTAATACAGGTCAACCGATATCATTGTACAACAATTCAGAGGTAAAAGTTAATATTAGTGGGGGTATGAAAATCGAATAATGTGGCACGTCAAACAACCTATGCATAAACGTAGACATCTGGGGGAAATCAAGCGAAAGGCTAGGAGAAAGATGACTACGCCTCAGAGTAACTCTCCCGTATTCCATAGGCTGTCGTGAAGCTGACATTTTATCCCTGAGCATTGAAAGAATCTCGCTGTATGACGGAATATTAACGACGACTTTTGAAACGTGAGCTATGAAAATAGTCTTCTCTCAAAATGGGTGTTACGTGAAAATGGTGACTCAGCCGACTAGCAGAACAAGGATCCTTGTCTAAAGGGGACCACACGGACTGGTCCCAATCATGGACTCCATTGGGAGGTCCATCGCAACGAAGGAGAAGGAGCAAATAGGGAAGAACCAGACGAGCTGACAGCGCTTGCTGACTAAAAATATCGAAAAACAGCTATTTTCACAGCAATATGTTAAGGCTTTTGGAGAAGGTATATGGGTAAAATGAGCAAGGTGACAGTATGCTAAGTTGCCTACACTACGCCGGCATAAAGATTAACCCAGAATCAAAGACACAGCAATTAGGTGAAATCTGTAGCACTATATAAGGCTATTGGTAGACCGAGTCAGTTAGACACTGAGCGATCACCTACATATGTTTCACACGCAGGTGTAAAACCGACGTCTTTATATAAGCAGTCAAATTCAGTTGTTTTCAGAAGTCCAGGACATCCAGTTTGTATCCAAGCTATCTTCACAGCGATATACGTATAAATTGCTTGTCGATAGATCGATACACACTGCCTACTGATTGCCAACGGAAAGTTGTGTGATGTTTAACACGGATAAAGGACAAACACTAGATACTGTACTGGACATGCTTAGCAAGTACTCCCAACCTAGAAGTGAGCAATAGCAACACCAAATGTTGGAACTAGAGTCCAGAGTAAACCTAATACTGGGAGGCAGTCATAGCCACAAAAGGGGCCAAACTATGCGGTCTTATTTGAAACTGGAACGAAAGTCGTGTCACATGGACTACTCATTAAAACGAAGCAGTCTTAGAAATAGACAACGAAGGTCTGAAAACCAGTGGACAGTAGACCTCCGAAGAGAAGCCACCGGAGAGGAATGATCACTTGGTCTCTTTTGAGGAGTGGACTACGATCGCGGAGGAGGGTGGGGTGATTGGGATTCGATCCAATACCAGAACACTAGGTTCTGAAAACGACGAACAAACTGCAACAGTTTGCACGAATGCTTAAGAAACTACTCCATTCCTTTGTATGGCCTTATCTTTTAGTGTGTGCTGCATTTATTAATCTTCGTAATTTATGGCTATTATTTCAAAGTGAACCCCATGGTCACTCGATGAGCTGGGCAAGGACTGTTCGCGCCTTTTGTGAACATGATCGTTTAGGTCCGCTTTTCAAAACCGAATCGGTCAAAAATGTCATTCATCTTATTAAAATCTGCATCTTAATCTATCATTCAGGTTAGAAAAGACTCGGATATTTTGGAAAACATGCAAGCGTTGGTTTGTGCAACACAATACATGTCGTTCAGGATGACCACGCAGGCCTTGAAACGTACGAACCCTCCTCCCCCGTATTCTGTGATAGCTCTTCAGATTGATGGCTTTTATTCAGAGGAAAAACTTCTCCAGAAAGGAAATCACACACCTAGGGTGGTAGTAGGTCCCTCGGAAATCAAACGTGGACCGCGTGATCCCCACTGCGCCTGGTTGGGGACACTAAACATATGGCTGCCAAAAGACGTCAGTGGCGTTTTTGTTGTCAGTTTCTATCGAGATTGCCTGAGTGAATGTCTGGAGATTGTGGTAAGCTAGCATTAAGTTCTTTCCTTACAATAAGGCTTTCAAATAAATCGTGGTTGTACAGCAGCTAAGCGTCGGTGTTGAACAATAACGTCATGCTGTCGACGATGATGCAGAAATCGAATATCTCATAGAAATCCGACGGAGAGCGCTGGATGTGGAGTTACCCGGGGGAGTGCCTGTTCAAGGGTCTCTCTTGAGCCAAAAACACTGATTACCGATAAAACCACCAAATCCACCAAGCGGACATCATTCAGGTCAACGGTATGACGTCTTTCGAAGTTAGCGATAACACCAGACATGTAGAAGGATAGGATGGTTGAAGGATGAAAAGGCTGGACATTTTCATACGGCACTGTTCTCAATGAGAACAGTCAACAACCCACAAAGAGTCACGGCCAGGTCTCTAACCAAACGTTATTAAGCAGTCCGTTACAAAACTTTGTCGCAATTTTTAAAAACGCGAACACGTGTCAAGACTTTCGGTGTGCTGGTTGCTATTTGGCGAAGTATTTCCTACCTTATCACAACAGAAGATAATGTGCACTAGCCATTCTCAGCTGACGGTTGAGGTGACTTCAAACTCCGAATATATTCTGCTAGAATCGATGGCTGTCGTAGGACTCAAGTCAAACCAAGATTACTGGCGATGACATCACAAACCTCTTGAGCTTGCACACGATGTTAATCTCTCTAATCTTCATGCGCCACGCACGCGTTTTAGCCAACTCGGCACTGTGGACAATGAACTTATCTGACACTGGTCGCCTTCACATTATGGCAATCAGGATTCATTAACAGCGTGTGAACAAAAAAAGGATCACCAGTGAAAGTTGTTGATGCAGCCAGGACTGATCCGGGAGGTTCGTGAGTTCAATCCACCACTAAGTTTTCTACTGCTTTCATCTGATCCTAGTTGCATACTGATCCGTTTGCTTCGTTCCGGTCGTGTGGTACCCATGCGAATAAAGCCGAATACAACACAGAGAGCAAAGGGACCAATGAAAATACGGAAAACTCTATCTGTAGCTAACCAATCACATCATGATTAGGAGATGCACCTTTGAAGCTAAATAAATGCAGAGGGAATGATGGAACGCCCACCCGCAGGCGCACTGACGAAGTCCTTTCGACTGGTGACTCGACTATTGTCATCAGATTGTCATACTCGAAGAAAAGACCAAGTATCACAGCTCTGCAGCCAAAATATCCGAATGGGGTGATCTGACATCAAATTATCGGTTCACAAGGAGTCGTTCAAATGTGTAGTAATGTAAGGGCGCTGTGAGTGAGGAATTCCCCTAGTCACTGAAAGAAGTGGTGTGAAGAACACTTCAAACCAGGATATTCATTAGGATTGATGCCACTTGGATAAATAATGACAGTTAATTAAGAGATGAAAAGTGCGGATTTTCCTACTTTTACACCAGCTGTATCTTGTGGAAGGGTCCCTGTAAAAGAAAGCCGGGTGTTGTACAGAACTTCATACAACAATGCTGGTGAGTGTTGTGCTTTGTTGAGGGATTAAGATTTGGCCCTTTTTCACGCAAATAAGTTGGTGAAACTAAGACATTATTCAGACCATTAAAAACAAAAGCTTAGTAACCAAGACGCCTTTGTCGTGCACACTGGCTTTTCTATCAGTTCAGTGCAAAGGAGTTCAAGCACTTCTGTAAGGAGGTAGACTCCCCGAGGACTGAGCATCGCTGTAACAGACGTCCATCCTAATGCACACTGTTAGTGCTTCCGACAGAATGATGACCAGACGGAAAAGTTGAAACTGAATTTTTCACAGAACAATCCCCAAAGCATTCAGCACGACTTGTTGTATGTACTGCTGTTGGTCTGTGTTAAAGATCACGAGAACTCCGTTTTATAGGCTAACAGAATGTTCATTCTCCTACGGCGGCCTGTCCCTAAATTGACCTACTTTGTCATGTGTAGCCCAGCAAATAATGTTTTCTAATAAAAAGTAGGCGATCAGCCGTGGAGCGCATGTGACCTCAATCTCTCAAACAACCATAATAAATCAAGGAGTATGCAGAAAGATATGCATCTGTACACGTTAAACACCGATGTCCAAGCCACAAAAGGGTTGGTAGCTCATTGGTATTGTGCGCAGGAAATTGGTTTCGAAGTTGAAGGAGTTGATTTGAAATTACCTAGGGGTTGCGACATTCGATTCCCACGTAATGTTCTTTGTTGATGAATTAAAATTGAACCGCAATAACAGCCTGTGGCGAACAAACTCAGATAAAACAGTAAACAGATATATCATCTTTGAGTGAGCAAGCTGCCTAATGAAGTCAGTGAATTCGCTAACCACAGACAACAAAAAATGTGCACAACTACTGGAGTAAATCGACATTTGATAAGTTGAACGTCCAGAAGGTGAATTGAGGAATTTGGTACAAATCAGCGGCGAAAGTGACTCAATCATCATAATAATCATGATCGACAGCCTGATATCAGCGTTCAACACCGATGGTTCGCTGCCGTACAACCATGATTTAATTGAAAGCCTTATTGTGAAGAAAAGAAAAGAGAGTGGACCTTAACGTGGTGTGACGGTTTGCGCACCTCACAGACCCGTTGAGCTATACTCGAGGGTATCCCCGATACACTGACAGGGTCTATCATACCAGGTTGGTCAATGGTTAGTGGTCTGACGAACACAGTCTCCTGGTCCTCCAGGTTGAGGGTTCGAACATGTGGTGACCTGTTCCGTAGAAATGGTAATACATTTGCATTTCCCGCCAAACACCGCTTGCCTTGCGGTAGGCTTTTGAGCCAAAGGCTTTGGATGATGACCCTAATCGTCCCCTTGTCTAGGTATGAGCGCCCTGACAGTATCCCAGCCCATGTACAATCAAAGTGACTCGAGCACAGGGAAAAACTGGTGAGCTCGAAAGACTAAAATAACATCGCACCTTTTCCAATTGCTCAAAGTAGGATTGTATGGAATCACCAGAGACACCTTTCGATTTTCGATTGCTTCGGGGGCCGAACAGGAAATTTTTCAGATCTGGCCAACGATTGAGAAAGGCGTAGAACCAAGCTTGGCTTGGATTAATGTACTTGAAAGGGGCTATCCGGCCAACAGCTTTGGTCATGTCTCCAGCAAGCTCAACTACCTAAAAGAAGGACATTAGAGTGAGATACCTCATTAACTAACTGGAGCCAGATTGATTCGGTGTGAAGAACTATGATGCATGAACAACGGATGCATGAAACAATTGACCAAAACCAGTACAGTAAATGACGCAACATAAATTAAACTCAGTAAAATGGCCAAAAGTAGCACATCCAAGTGGCAATGCCAGTACTACTTGCACATGACTGCCGTTTGCTTCGTGATATGTTCGGTGATTATTCATTTTCCATAGGTGAGAGCAGAATTTTAAAATAACGCGGTCGTTGTTGAACCACGAACGAATGGAACGGGTATGACCACCCAAATAGATATTGTAATTTCCTAACAAATTGAGCTAGGTAAGGCACATAGCCTTACGCCGATACTAGAATACCCCAAATTATAACCTCACATAATTGAGGGCACTATATACAAATCAACTGAATCTCTCAGAAGAAAAAACAAACTGAGTAAACTGTGTCAGAAAGACTGCAAGGAACGGTTCAACCAGCGAACTTTCCGCATTCATGCGTATCTCATGAACATCCGGAAACCGTGTATCAACGGTCCACCAGCTCTTATCTCAACGGTAATCCATCGCGTTTTTGTTCGGTGGCCCGTAGCTGAACCATAGTATTCAAACTGGCACTTTAGAGACAGCAGTTCTGAGTAATCGTAGAGATTGTGGAGGTGACCATTTCCAATTAATCACGGCAATTACGAGACATCTGCAAAGCGGTTCTTGGCTTTTACTATACACTGACTTTATTAGTCGGGCCAGACATCCAGATCCCAACCTAGAATCACGAAATACTACTTTCCTAACAATATCAACCCGTAGATTTACCATCTAGTCATACTTTTAAGGCGGTAATAATTTTGCTCCCAAAAAAAAACAGCCCCGGGTTATTAAACAGTAAGAAGCAAGTCCGAATGGGTCGCTGGCGACCGAAGAATGAAAATTCAACAAGAAATTTTTATCTGGAAGATATGAAACCAACAAGTGAAATCAGGTGAAGCATTATGGAGGTGTTATCCACGAGCTAAGTTTAGAACAACAAAAGTCTCAATTAATCGTGGCGCGTAACAGGTCTGTCAGAGCGGATTCGCTGTAAGATATGACTGTTAATTAATGTCACTATCGCCCTTGTGATCAGCCCCTATCCAGGTGGTCTGAATGGGTAATGGAGGTGTGGACCCTTTGGATTTATTGTGGTAGATTAGCAATAGGTCCCCTCCCCATCCGCTTTTACTCTTTTGTTCACCATACGGCTTTCAAATAAACTAGTTGTATGGTAGCGAAGCATTAGTGATATCGATGATGACGAACGTCGCAGCTTTGGGGTACATGGGTAAGATAAATCCGATATTAGGAAACCCTGTAATGAAGTACTTAGGACTACCTTGGTTGGAAACGACTGACACATGAAGGGAAGGCTAAGTATGTTCCGGAAAACAAGTATCAAGCTGCTCACTTGATTTCTAGTGTAAGGATATCCTATTTTGCTCATGAACAGTATATGATCCACCATTTTCTTCTCTTCTTCATAGGTGAAAAAAGTTGGTGGTCCGGGACGAGAGCATTCAAGACTAACTCGTCCATGCACTCTGTCGCGCAGCGTTGACTCGGGTACGTTGAATGCGGTAGCAGCGCCTCGTAAAGACATGCCTTGATACTTGACTGCATTGTATGCATTTGTCATATCACGCTGGGTCCATCTTCGTCGACGAGTCTACGGAGAATGTAAGTAATCGTGCAGAAATGGTGACATACTTTTGGGCGTTGTAACGAACGTCCAGTGACAGAGTCAAAATTAGGATAAAATAATATCTGCTGCTGTTGATAATCGTAAGTCCCTCCGGAATGCATCATATCTCCGTCGTCATCTCGGTCTTCACCATCCATTGCGTCTTCAGAGCCGGAGTAATCGTCCTCAAACGAAGTTGGATTCATATCAACAGGGCGGGGAAATCTGATAGTGTGACGATAATCGAGAAGCTGCAACGGTATAATCATGATTAGAAATAGCCTGCAAAAAGGAATTTCTAGTCATCACTAGGAAGGTAATAAAAGTTCTGGTAGCTAGATTACTGGCTATCACCAACTCAGAAGCAGAAAATCACAAACCGTGAGAGTGATCGCCAATACTGCGTTTAAAATCACATCTTCACACATTACTGTTATACCCTTGTACGCGACGGAATAAGTCGCCGATGATGGTTGGTGTCCTAAAATACCCTAATAGAAATGCGAAGGCATCCAGAGCTAAAAATGAGCAACTCAGAAAGGTGTAATCTAAGATTAATAACAAGGCAAAAGCTAGGTCACCTAAGGTGACTATCTCAACAACAACCGGGGCCGACTGCATCAGGGATCTCGAAATTAACCTTCAAAGTATGATGCAAGCTGGACCACAATCCGCTCTTGTTCTCACACTGGATCTGTTTGATAAATTATGCGTGCTATGTATCAGAAACAAGAAGCCAAGATCCAAGAACACTCATTAAGCTAACTGTCCCACCATTCTCCACTCGTTTCTGTCCATGTAGCTCTGGCGATTCAGATTCTGCTGCGACATAATGTGCAGCGGTCGCTATCTTCCTAATTCACCAGGATCTTTGCTTGACTAGACATCCGTTGATAGTCACCTCTGTGCAGTTCGTCCGGCAACGTCCGTGAAGGAATTTCACAAGGAAGGAAGTCCAGTGTTGTTTATTTGTTGTATGATTCAGCCCCAACCATCAAACATGACTTGTATGGGGCCTTACAGCGAGTTAAAATCTCACCCGTCGTTGTGCTTGCACGGGGGATCTGAATGCACAATCTGAAGCACATTTGAGATTCAATTTGATGGTTGCCTTGAAGTGAACAAAGGGGAGCGATCGCTTCGGCTATGTGCTGACCGCAAACTTTTATGCAGCGCTAACTTTCGAAGTCATCTGGCGAACGTTACAACGTTACAGCATCGAAACTCAAATCGATCACATCGCCATCAGTTACGGACATCCGACAAAATAGCGGCACAGCTTGAATCTCGTAGCAATCCCTCCGCCGATCCCGGTTACAATTTTGCATGACAAATTACCAGATGTCAGGTGAAAGCGAGCAGGTACATTAACCACGAAGCCTGGTGGACATGGAATAGCATTGGTAATGTGATGAAATATTGGTAGCTCGGGTGAGTTTATTGGTTGTTGATCAGATGGCTGTTGATCTGTTCGCCGAGCTTGGCAATTGGCTTGCAAACGTTTCGTCACCATACGAAGAGACATCATCAGTGCGCACCCAACTGATGATGTCCCCTCGTATGGTGACGAAACGTTTGCAAGCCAACTGCCAAGCTCGGCGAACAGATCAACAGCCATCTGATCAACAACCAATGGAATAGCATTCCGTGCAAGAGGTTCAGAAAGCCTAGAATGCCTGAATATTACTGCAGCTGAACCTTACGACTTGCCCTCAGAAAACGCTTGTGAACTAAGCCATGAATGATCAAAGTGGCGCCACCATACTCAATAGAGGACGCGTCGACCGTAGGATCGAGCATTTGGAACAACTCTAGTAGCTAACTGCTGCCAGTTAGGCGGATTCCCGGATTGCAGTAGAATCCTGGATGGTGAAACTAGAACTCCCCACGACCTCGAAAGTTTGTGGGTACACACGTCCTCCCAGGCGACACCGAGCGCCCGGTCCGTATGACCTCCCATTCGCATTGCTTATAAATGAGGATAAAGTCCTGAGTGGGCGACGGTCTGATCTACTTGTCCCCATTTGAGAACATCGTTCCACAAAATTGATGTGAACAAGCAAGAGCCCACTTTCGAGGAAAGGGCACTTAGAGGGTGCGGTAATCATAGGATGATCAGCTTGAACCTGGTCATAACAAGACTGCTGCTGTCACCTTATGGTGGCCTGTGAAGCATTGATTCAAGAGCAGCAGGCAGGATTCCAGTATGATAGGGGCTGTGTTGACAAAATATTCAAAGTTCGTCATGCGCTAGAACGTCATATGTATAAACGACCCACAATTTTAGCATTCCTGGATTCCCAAGAAGCATTCGACTCATTTGACCGGTTTGTTCTCTCCAAAACGTTTGCCTGGTAAGGAATGTACTAAATTCTTCGCATTTCCAGACTTCCAGACGTACGGGTGCATACGGGAAGCTCTCTATAAGCCTCCGAACACAGGGTAACGTTCATCAAGGATGCCCACTCTCTCCATTTCTACTGCATTTCCTGATCGATGAGATAGTGAGACGTGTGCTGGAAGGTCTTCAAAACCCTGGCATTCAAGTGGATGCTGGCAAAAACCTTGTCGATCTGGAGTATGCAGAGGAAAAAAGGCACAGGGGTTTTTGGATTAACTGACAAAGGCATCCCACCCCTTGACATGCGCTTTCCACGCACAAAGTGTAAACCAATGCTTCTGAAGATGCAGTCACTGATTCACAATTCAAGGAGAACTCAAGGTTGTGGAGCGTTTTAAATACCTTGGAAGTCGTATTAGTTCCACTGTGGTGTGACAGATGAGATCAATGCATGGATCTGTAGGGCTCGGGCTGCGTTGAGACACCTATCCCCGAATATCAAGAAATAAGCGTATCATGATACAATACGGGCTGCTCTGTCGTATGTCTGGGACGTGGCCTCTGTGAGCAATGAAACTAGAAAGCCTTCAAGTCTTCGAAAACCATTTTAGAACCATAACTCGTGTAGCCTGGTGCCGCAACGAAACTGTCAGGACGCGCCCAGACAGGAAAAAAAGCACGTGTGCAGAGTAACGCATCCCCAAGGTCACCATCGGTACGACACGTCCAGAAAGCAGGTGCGTTGGCGGAGCTTACCAAAGACGGCTTAGCAACATACGACCAGCGTAGTGGGCCTGAGATTGTTCACAACCTGAAGACCGCCGTTGGCTGTACGGAGCGAACAAGTGAACGACCATATTTGGCCATTTAGTCATCCTATATATTACGCAGACGCTCTGTATGTTTTGTCCAGGCAATATAGCCGTGTCTCCAGTTCTCTGTCTTCTCCTTATCGCGTAGTCTGGCAGACTCAGTGCAGCTGTAACCCATAGACGGACACTCGCAAGATACAACAGAAACAATTAGAAAACGAATGTTCTGTGATGCAAGAGAGACTTCAATGTTCAGCCCCAAAACTGCAGCGGTTAGGCCACGCATTACACATATCGAGTCAGTGTTTGCCGAAGAGTACTATCATTCGTACCCAATTTAGAGTGATGCAATTACGCGAGCGACAACCTCCGGTCTGACAGAAGGGTGTGAAGTAAATTGCACAAAGCGTGGGTACTGCCGGGGCGATTCGGGATGGAGTCGCGATGGGGTCCGCGTGATTCCTTACCCTGGATACTGTAATGTTAATAGCCTTCCCGTTGTTAGTTAATATCCAGAGTCTGGAGTTGTAGGCACCCTCCACTTTTATGCCTTTTCACAGTAGTTTCCAAACAAATTACGACTGTAGGCTGGTGAAGCATTAGTGTTTGAACAGTGATGTGCTGTCGGTGATGATGTTGAACACCAGAGATTGTAGTTGTACCACATCATGTAGTCTACGGTAACTTGATGCTTCCCAAAATGATTCGTCGCACCTAACTACCACTAGCCAAGTGTTTCTACAATACGTGTACAACGCCTCGGCGGTAGTACCGATCAAAGATAGACAGTCTTCTCTCACCCCAACGCAGTGTCAATCTTTTCATCTTTCGGCTTGGTCAACCTTGCAGCTGTTCACCCAGCGGCCCTTCCCATCCATCGAATGGTACAGTGCGATCAACCCACCTGCCAGTCCTCTAGCCATTGTCCCGTATCTAAACCATCACCCAGAAAAACAAGACTAAGTAATCACTTATCACCCTCAGGTGATCTGATCTACGTTACATATATCGATGTCCGTACTCTACGTCAAATAGGGCAACAGGCGTCTCTTGCCGAAACCTTGCTTCTCCTCTTTAGCGACGTATGCACTGCCTCCATGTGTGCTCACATATTACACATTTCACTTTTCGGGTATCTCGTGATCCTGGTGCAATGGCTCGTGGTATCTGCGTGGTCAGAGTTGCACTCAGCTTCAAGGCTGAAAGCGCTTTAATGGACTAGATCCTGGTGAAAGGTTGTCTCTGCGTAGCGCGGTTGTCTGGCTCAATCAAGATCAATGCAGATCGATGCGATAAGCTGCTTATTTATCATGTCACCAAACGCTCCGATAGACTGTAGTTCTGAGAGTGAGAAAGACGAGCGTTCCGTCGCGACTGCTTCGGTCGGCAAGAACGATGGATACAGTAATCCTGGTGGGCGATAGGAATGCCATATTTGAGCGACTTAGCAAGGAAGACGCATAATTAAAAGTAGATTTGAGGTTTATGCTCAGCGTAAGGACAGTAGGAAGCGACAGCATCAGTTACGTGTTGATCATCGTGTCTTCCTGGCCAGTACGAACTTCCAGCACAAAAGCTCACATCGAGTAACTCGGAGGCCACTAAATGCAAGATAGTCATGAGCTCAACTGAACCATGTGACTACCAGTTACCGATGGAGTACCTCAATTAAAGATTGTCGTCCCTTCATGGATACGCACCAAGACTCTGATCATGTCATTGAGCGGACTCGATTACCACACAGTTTTCCGTCACCAGTACGCATTCCAGAACAAATCCATTCATTAACCCGACAAGTTTCAGTAGTTCAAGAGTATCGAGCTGGTGTAGCTAGAAAGCTACTAGAAACACAGCTGCGTGGAAGGGTGCTTAGAAGCTGAATGGAAGCGATTTTAAGAAACTGTGTTTTCAGCTTCCAGAATTGCCTGTCTAAGATATCCAACTCAGCCAAATGAACACTGGATATCGTCAGATAAGCAGATCATACAACCGCCGGAAACTCCAGTACAGCAACTAGTGACTGCGATGACGTACGCAGATACCTCGAACACCGAATAATCGAGAGACCAAACAATGAGAGGGAGAATCGTGGTGGGTTGTGAAGGTCAAGGAGATGAAGGAGGCTTTTGCAACAAGAAACAGTCGATTGAGCCGGTTCGATCGACCGGCCAAAAGGTAAATATCAGCGAGACGATATACGAGCAAGACGGAATGGCAATTCACTCACAAAATTGTCGTCTTCAGCAATCGACTGAGCAGTACACGGAACGAGTCAGCTGGCCACCTTCAACACATCCTGTGGAAGAAACTAAAGGGGCTGAATGGAACATTAACACCACCAACAGAAGTCCAACTTGAGGTTGTTATTCAGAGGGCTTCATCGTTCCTTGCTAAATTACTTTTTCTCATTTTAGATCACAGTGTCAAAGTTTTGGATGAATAAAGCCTAGCTTCTGAGCCCTTGGTCTTTTCTGTTCTCACTCTGATTGTCGTCGCACTTCGTTCAACAAGTTATCCGTCCAAAAGCCTTCATCGAGTAATGGATCAATCGTTAAGTCTTGAACGGTTGCATACAGAACCCAATACTCAAAACTTGGCAGGTATCTGGGAGCACTGGTTTTGTGCTTTCACGGATTTCCTCAATTCCGTTACTCCTTATTCACTAGATGAACTTTGTTCAATTACGTTGCTCCTAGTGTTTATCGCTTCATCAAAGGCTGTCAGGATTATGAAAAAGCTATTTCAACCTTGCGGTAAATTTATATACAAATGAAAAGTGGAATATTAGCCCGTCATCTTCTGAATACTTGTAAGCGAGACGGATAAAAAATATTGATCAATTTGTGCAAAAGCTTCGCAGTTTGTTGCCAGATTGCCGCTTTACAGCTGTCAACGCAGAACAACACAGCCATGAAGCATTACGAGATGCATTTATTAAAGAACTTTATTCGAATACCATACGCCAAAGGATGTGTGAATGCAAGTCGCTGGTTTTATTAAACTTCCTACGATCAAGCAAAGTCCCTCGAACCAGCTCAAAAAAGTCACAGTCGTTTTTACCGAACAACCAACTCCCCTGTGCTACCATATCGAACGACCCACAAAGGTGTCCACGTTTTCACGCATCATCGCAAGAACAGATGACTGTTGCTACTATGGGGTCTATGTGTTTCTTCTGTGGCTGCGGTCGTCACCCGCGTTATAAATGCCCCCTTGCAAAAACTGTGGAAAGGAAAAACATTTTCAGAAGGTATGCAGATCTTGTACTGGTTTAAGAACACTCACCCCAAAGGAACAGCACCAATGTGACCGCCAACTGCGTTCCAGTTCGAGCTCTTGTTGACACTAGTGTAACGGCGTATATTCTTGATGAGGCATGCGAGTAGTATGTGGTTTCACTGTGACTCCACCCAGACTTATAATGAAAGGTGAGGTTTATTACGGAACTTGTGGAACCGCTTTGCAGTATTCGTTTACAACAGTGCTACAGTCAATGAATATTCATCAGAGTTCAAGAAGCTGCGAGAGAATGTTCGGTTTTAAAAACTATGTGCATATGAGACGTTTACTTTCCTGTCCAATAGCTTCTCTGTTTAGTTGGTTTGCTAGTAAATGACTTCACAGTGAAAGGTCTTCCTCTTTTAAACTGGTGATGTGGCCAGGATGCTGGTGGACCAAGTGGTTAAAGCGCGAATTTACTGAGCGGAAGGTCCGTGGTTCGAACCCGAATTCTGCCTCAACTTTCCCTCTCTAGGCTTGGGCAACCTAGCAGTATCCTAGCCCTAGTGCAACCTTCGGGTGGCATGACAGTTGGGTACCGAAAGGGTGCTACAGATGATGAAGATCGCGTGGTCACTACCTTTGGAGGATGGAGATGTGCGGACCTTCCTGGAGGACTTTGAGGATGTTGCGTAGCCCTAGTCAACCTTCGGGTGGCATGACAGTTGGGTACCGAAAGGGTGCTACAGATGATGAAGATCGCGTGGTCACTACCTTTGGAGGATGGAGATGTGCGGACCTTCCTGGAGGACTTTGAGGATGTTGCGAAGGCGACTGGACGAGACCGACAGGGAGCGGTACTGAAGACCATCATGAGGCCGAGAGAAGGCGACCCAGGATACGGCCGGAATGGGCCCTGGGATGACGGACTGGGCCGCTGTAAAGGAAACCCTTGCAGCAGAGCTCGACACCCCAGCCGACCACCAGGAACCTATGAGGCGGTGGGGGGCAGGATGGGACCGGAATGCGACCCGACCGTGTTCTTCGCCCGTCTGCAGCAGTGATTGGGTGGTACCTTGTCGGGACTGGACACCTAAAGCTGCCACCTTGACGTGGTGGTGGCGGTGGGGGGATGGGACCGGAATGCGACCCGACCGTGTTCTTCGCCCGTCTGCAGCAGTGATTGGGTGGTACCTTGTCGGGACTGGACGGACAAAGCTGCCACCTTGACGTGGTGGTCGGGCTTCAGTGCTGCAATGATCCCGCGGGCTACACTGGCTGGAACTTCGTTCCACAAGGTTCAACCATGCCAGGAAGGCCAAAGGGGAGCAGCCAGACCAAGAGCAG